TCCCGCTTCGCTACATCTCACAGTGGCCCCCCTCAAGGCAAGGCTTCAACCCCAAAGGCAGCGCCCGGGAGCCGCACTGCCTAGAGCACCTCTTCAATCGCAGGGGCTTTTCTGGGGTGATGGGACCCAAGCCGGATACCTCAGCTCCAGCCGCTCGCGTCCCGTGCGCTGCCCTCCCAGGAGAGACCGGCTGCCTAACTTTCCCGGCCGGCCCAGACCTTTCTGGAGTCCCGGGCGGGCGAGTGGGCGTCGGCATCGCTTTCCACTAGCCAAGGAACTTGTCCGGAGAAGTCGACCGCGGGGCAAGTGGCCCAGAGGGCGCGCAGGTAGGCGCCCGCCCTTGCCCCCGGGTTTCTGCGGTCTCTGCCTGGGGATCCCTTCGCGGGACCTGTGGCTGCAGCAGCTGGAGCCCCTAGTGTACCTTGCTTGGAGAATAGAGTGGCTCCCCTTCTCCCTCTGGGTCAGGGGGTTTCTCCTCTCTGTGGGACGGGGTGTGTGCCCCAGCACTTCCCACCGGAGGGGAAGCCTGCAGACTCCTTCCTATACTGTTCCCAGCAGCCATGGGAGGGTGTTTCAGGAGAACGAGGGAAATCTCCTGGAACACCCTGAATGGGGGTCCCACTCATAGAGTTCTATCCTGAAGTAGGGCTTCTCTGAGCTTGAAGACTCCCTTCCCCCTTCTCTTTTGGACTGGGATGGTAGAGTGAGAAGAGACTCTTGCTAGGGACTCTGAAAGGCAGTTTGGGGGCTTCTGAGACCCTTTCTTGGGTAGGGCAAGAGATACTTCTCCTCAGCCCAAGATTCCCTCATCTCTGGGAGACACCAATCTAGATGCACGCCCTGCTCCTTCCCTCAAGGACCAGGGACAGGGATATGAGGCAGGTCCTCTCTTTCCCACATTCAGTTCTGAAAAGGCCACCTGGGATATGTTCATATGTGTCTGGGTGCGTATGCCACGTGGCAGTCATAGTCTCGGACAGATATAAGTCCAGCCATCCTGGTCCAGCTCTATGGGACCAGTCACAGCTGATCCTGATCGTCACTCCTTCCTGATGTGGGACACCTGGGAAAGCATCCATCAGCCTTCGGGGCTGATGTTGTGTGGGTACAGGCTACACCCCACACCTCAGGATTCCAGAGTACCAGGCCCCTTCGACTCCTATGGCCTCCTGTACAGGTGAGGACAGACCCAAGGTGTGGGTGATTCTGCCTTTGGGACACATACCTGACTTGGCAACTCCTACTCCAGGGCTCCCTATCCCTTCTCCCCCCCTCCCTGGTTTTCACTGCCCTGCAAGGCAGCACCCCAACTAGCTATCACTCTCTACCTTCCTACCAGTTGCTTAGTGTCCTGTCTTGTCCCAGCTGTCTAGAGTGTGAATACTGGTGCAAGGCCAAGACCCATCTGAAGTCAGTGGGATGCTTGGACCTCAGTGGACCTGGCAGAGTTGGGAGGGGACCCAAGTTGGGCACTTCTCATGTTTCAAGGGCCCAGGCGGGGCATACCCTGGGCCCTCCCGCCTGCCCTCCTCCAGCTCCAGCAGAGGGCAGACAGGGGAGAGAAAAGGAGGGGTACGTTGGACTGGGTCCATTTGGTGTCCTGGAACAACTCGGGGGAGGGGGACTGGCATGACTGGGGAGGACTGGACTTTGGCCAGCTTTCCACTCCCAAGATCTGGGTCATAGTGGTTTGCCTGTGAGGGGTGCTTGTGGACCCGGCACTAACCCCTTGTCTCTCAGCCTCTGGGCGGGGCTGGTGGGTGGGTGTGGCAGGCATAGTTTCTGCCTTTCTTTCCCAAGGCTGTCAGGAGGCTCCGTGGAGCTGGGTGGGTAGTGCCAGTGGTTTCTACATTGCCCAGCAGGGGTACCTCCTAGGCACTCAGAAAAGATGGTTGGAGAACCACAGTCTAGTGCCTGGGTCTGGCCCATCTCATCGTGGCTTGGTCGCATGGATTCAGGCTCCTTGGTCATCACTCGTGTCCCTCTTGATCGGCCGCCTCCCTGCACTGGCCTCTGGACACTCCAGGGTCTTTCCTCCCTCCGAACTTCCACCCATGGTGTTCCTGTTGCCCTTCTCTTTCCTTTGGGGCCCTCATAATCTTTCTTTCCTCCCAAAGTCCTCGTCTGATCTGTCCCACCCTTTCCCATGTAGGGAGCCCAGCCTTCCCGCCTGGACCATCATGGGAGCACATGCCCTCTACCTGGCCTGCTCTTCCTCAGTGGCCAGCAGCCTGCCCGCAGATGAAATTCCGAGCCTGCCCGGCAGTCTTGACCCTCCCAGGCTGGCCCAGCTGGGATCTCCTAGAGTGACTGCTGGGAGGCACCCAATAAAGCTTGGTACAATGAGTTCCGTGTGCAGTGTGGACTTACTGAAAACTCTGGGTTTGGGGGGAATTTCAAGATGTGTCGTTCTGCCCTTCTGCACATGGCAGCAGTAAGCAAGGTAGGGCGTGCTGGTGGCAGCAGGGCTGAGTGAGGTCATCTAGGACCTGCTCCCTGGAACATCCCCTTTGGGTGTGGCCTCTAATGAACATGCCCTTCCTTGGCCACTTTCACTTTCTAGGCTGAGCACCTTTCTAGGCACTGTGCCCCTCGAGGGCGGTGCTTAGCCCTTTTAACTAGTTTGAAAGTGATCTCTTCTCCACACATTTCTCCACTACTCACTCAAACCAGCTAGTGTGGGCACAGAAGTACCCCGAGGGGACAGAGTGGCTGGAGATTCAGCACTAATCTTGGAGATTCTGGGTCTGAACATCTGGCCAAGATCTTGCCCTGCTCTTCTCTGCTCCTTTGGGGCTCCTGTGAAATCTCACTGGGACTCACATTCTGGCCACTTGCCTCCAGTATTGTTTGCCTGGGCTTTTCTGTCATAGCTTAAGGCCTTGTCCCCTCCCTCCAGCCTATTCTAGGCTCTCGCCTGTTCCCGGGACAAGCAAGCATCCACCATGCTCTCTGGTACAGGAGCCCTGGGGGACAGGACAAAGGAAAATGTCCCTTACCAGAAGCTGCCTGTGGGTACCTGGCTCCTCCCTGGCCTTGGGATGCAGGGCTAATCATACAAGACAGATCCCAGCCTTCCTAGCAGGAAAGGGAGTGCTGGGCCAAACCTAGACTTGATCCTGCAGCTTCTGACAACGGCCAGTCCCATCTTCATTATCTACAAAGCAGAAGCCAGAACCTAGCAGGAGCAGGCTCAGGATTGTCTTTCAGGGAGAATGCCTCGGGTTCCAAGTTCCTCTGCATAGCCTACATCATGGTGCCACCAGGATGGAGGGACTCTGCAAGGCAGCAGGGACAACTTCAGGGACAGGGAGAGTACATCTCCTTCCCCTAGAGTCCTTTGGCACGGAGACAATGCACATGCTTCTTGGGAGGAATGGTGGCTTCCTGCTTGGCTCTTCTCTATCTGTGGCCATAGTCCCTGCCCCTGGGAGCATGATATCCCAAGAATCTTCTTGACTCAAGATCCTCAAAAGATGCTGCTGCCCAGGGAAAGAGAGAGATGGGAGGTGGCGGGGGCAGGCCTAGTTCCTGCCTCTGATGTTTGTCTTTCCCTTTCTGGAAGTTTCTTCAGGCTCCCCTGGTTGATTTGGGGTTGTGGGGTGCAGGAGTTGTGAGGTTGGGTTGTGGTGTGATTCTAGAGACCTCGCCCTGTAGATTTGAGCTGTCCCCTAGGAAATTTCCCAGGCAGAGAGGTGGAGTGGAGGCGGGCTCTTCTTGTTCCTCTTCCTGCCTGGGGGGGCTATTCCTGGGGGTGGTGACTTCATGGACAAGAGTCTGTTTCACTTAAGTGCTTCAGTGTGCTAGGAATACAGTTCT